AATGTACCGTAAAATCTATTTCACAACCTGCCAATGCTCCTTACCAGGATCATGCATGTACCTGCTCACAACTCTAACTGCTTGTGAAATGTCGGGTCTTGTACATACCATAGCATACATCAAGTTACCCACCGCATTTGCATATGGTACCTTTGCCATATATTCTCGTTCTGCATCATTCTTTGGAAATAACGATGCACTGAACTTGAAATGAGGAGCAAGTGGAGTACTAACAGGTTTGGCCTTTTGATTCATGCCAAACCTCTTTAATACTTTACTAAGATACTCTTTCTGGGTCAAATAAAGCCTCCCCAATCTTCTATCTCTGCTTATCTCCATGCCGAGAATCTTTTTGGCTTCGCCGAGATCCTTCATTTCAAACTCCCGACTCAAATGAGATTTCAATTTTTCAATCTCACCTTGATCCTTGGAAGCTATCAACATATCATCAACATAAAGAAGAAGATATATGTAGGATCCATCTCGTAGCTTGCGCAAATATACACAGTCATCATATTTGCTTCTTGTGTACCTCTGCCCAATCATAAACTTGTCAAATCGCTTGTACCACTGCCTTAGAGACTGCTTCAATCCATACAACGATTTGTCAAGCTTGCACACCATCTTTTCTTTACCAGCAACTTTGAATCCTTCTGGCTAAGTCATGTAGATTTCCTCTTCCAAGTCACCATGTAAAAACGCAGTTTTTACATCTAATTGGACAAGTTCCAGATCCAATTGTGCTACCAAAGCCAATAAAATTCTGATGGAGGAATGTTTCACGACTGGAGAAAACACTTCGTTGTAATCAATTCCCTCCTTCTGAGCGTAACCTTTAGCCACCAATCTTGCTTTGTAGCGAACACCAGACTTGTCAGGAAATCTTTCATTCTTTGCATATACCCACTTGCATCCGATTGCCTTCTTTCCCTTTGAAAGACTGGTTAGCCTCCATGTTTGATTCTTATGAAGGGAATGTACTTCTTCATCCATTGCAATCCTCCACTTTTCTTTATCTGAACTTTGAGCTGCTTCATTGAAAGTGGCAGGAATATCATCATTTATGGTTGGGGATGCATAGGCCACTATATCAGCAAAACGAGCAGGTTTTCTGATTGTCCTCTTTGGCCTACTGGTTGCAATTGATTCATGTTGCTATGGAAGTTCTTCAACTGGAACATTTTCTTCAGTTGATTCTTCTTCTACCATAAGAGTCCTTTCATCTGCTCTTATATCCACTGCTGGTCTGATAATGCTTCTTTCAAACTCCACCTGTTTAGGAGTGCTCTCCACCTGTTGGGGAGTACTATCATTCTGCTGTACATCTACCTTTGTTAACATGATAGATTCATCAAAGGTGACATCCCTGCTGAAAACTATCTTCTTTGTCTCAGGAAACCAAAGGCGATAACCTTTAATGTCTGTCGTGATCCCCATAAAGAACGCCTTTTTCGCCCTTGGATCCAACTTTGATTCTTTAACATGATAATATGCAGTAGAACCAAACACATGTAAGGAATCATAATCTGTAGCAGGTTTTTCCGATCATTTCTCTTATGGCATTTTGCCGCCAATAGCAGTTGATGGTAAGCGATTAACGAGGTGATTTGCATGTGCTAAAGCCTTAGCCCAAAATTGTCTGCCCAACCCAGCATTGGACAACATACACTAAACTTTCTCCACCAATGTTCGGTTCATACGCTCTGCCACCCCGTTCTGCTGTGGTGTATCTCTGACTGTGAAGTGACGAACAATGCCTTCATTTTCACAGACCTCCATGAACGGATCACTAGTGTATTCACCTCCGTTGTCTGTTCGAAGGCGTTTGATTTTTCTTTCTGTTTGAGTTTCCACCATCTTTTTCCACTTGATGAAAATTCTCAATACTTCACTTTTCGCCTTCATAGTATACACCCATATTTTTCGAGAGAAGTCATTGACAAAGGTAACAAAATAATTTTTGCCTCCCAGAGAAATTGCTTTGGAAGGTCCCCACACATCAGAGTGCACATAATCCAAAATACCCTTGGTATCGTGAATTGCAGTGCCATATTTTACCCTTGTCTGCTTCCCTTTGACACAATGCTCACAAAAATCTAACTTGCAAACACTGGATCCTTTCAATAGTCCTTGATTTATCAGAAAATTCAAGGATTTTTCTCTGGCATGCCCTAAGCGCATATGCCATAATCTGGTTACTTTCAATTCTCGATCATCACTGGAAGCCACTGCTGCTACTTCAACAACTGCATTACCTTGATAGTTATATAAGTTATTATTTTTTCGGATTCCTTTCACCAGCACCAATGCACCTGAAATGATTTTCATTACTCCATTATATGCCGACATCTTGTAGCCCATTGATTCTAGTACTCCCACAGAAATGAGATTCTTTTTCAATTCTGGCACATATCGGACATCAGTTAGAATCCTAATTGATCCATCCTGATTCCTCAGCCGAATTGAACCAACCCCATTTGTTGCTAATGTGGTCTCATCTGCCGTGTAGACGACTCCACCTTCTTGTTCCTTGAAATCAAAGAACCATTCCCTATTGGACGTCATATGATGACTACAACCTGAGTCCAATAGCCATGTACTAGAATGACCAGTAGGCATGACAGCTAATGAAAAGTTTGAGTCTTGATCAATGCACTCAGTTACATTTGAATCCGCAACAGTTTTTTCCTTGTCAGGTCTACCCTTTAGTTTTGGGCAGTCCTTCTTCCAGGGTCCTTTCTCTCTGCAAAAGGCACACTCATTTTTTGCTTAGTCTGGCTCTCGACTTGGATCTACCTCTCGTCTCCTTTCTCTAATTTTGTGAGCGTCCTCTAGTTACCAGAGCTTCTGCTGCTTCATCTCTGCTACTTTGCTTGTCTTTTCTTCTGAGCTCATAGCTGTACATGGCAGAGCTAACTTCACTGAGGGATACTTCAGCTTTCCCATGGAGCATAGTTGTTTCAAGATGATCAAACTCCTCAGGAAGAGATCCCAACAACATGAGAGTCAAATCTTCATCTTCAAATGTCACATCTAAATTCAACAAATCAGTGATTAATTGATTGAAATTAGTGATGTGATCACTCAGAATTGTGCCGGGAACATTAGTGAAGCGAAATAAACGCTTCTTCATATTGAGCCTGTTCTGACAATTTTTCTTCAATAACTTCTCATCCAATCCAGTCCACAATTTATTTGCAGAAGTTTCTTTTGAGAACACATATTTCTATTCCTTTGAAAGACACGATCGAATTGTACCACACGCTAAACGATTTAGCGTCCTCCATTCCTTCTCTTCAATCTCTTCTGGTTTCTCTTTTTCGATGGCAATGTCTAGACCTTGATTAAAGAGCGCATCTTGAGTCTCACTTTGCCACATACCGAAATGATCGATACTATCAAATGTCGCCACATTTAATTTTGCATTCATCATAGTATTTCTCGCCATAATAGACGATGACGAGCTTGTTGATGCTTGCATTGTAGATGAAGATCTACTTTCGGCCATCTCTACAAATTATATTTAGTAGCTCCTAAATATAGAGTAACAATAGCTCAAGAAATCTTTTCTGATGTGGAAGATCAGAGTATGCTGCAACCACAGAGCATACTAAGAAACTTCGAACTCTGATACCAATTGTTGCGGAAACCCTACCAAATTAAGGTATAACGAGTAAATTATTGTACCTAAAATTGTAAAATGATAATTTCCAGGAAATATTTGGTGAGGCACACTGACCTACTTAAGTACCAATTTCTTAGACAGAATCACCTATATATGTAATTAATTGCACAATAACTCACTACAAATATAGCTACTAAATAGACAATAAAATAGAACACCAGAATTTAACGAGATTCGGCTAATTTGCCTACGTCATTGGACACTACCGACAATTTAATATTTCACTAGAAAAAATATTACAAAGAGAGAAAATGAAGCAAGTTATTAACTCTTGCTTGGATAACTTGCTTGGTGTACGTGAATTGATTTGTTTGAGATTTATTTACAGCTTTCAAACAACCTCTCAAATGTTAAACTTAACCGATGTGGGATTTAGAAACTTAGGCCAAAGAATTCAAAGTCCTCAATTTTGGCTTGGAAAAGTCATCAATTGAGGCTTGGCTTTGAATTCAACACTTGTTTTAAGCATGTCTCAAGGAATATAAATTGTTGTTTAAATGCTTTGCAATAAATGTTAAATTATTTATGTTAACGGTGGTTTCCTCTAAGCATGTACTTTGCTAAAACTAACCAGTTGATGAGATGTTAGCTGTTATTTATTACAAGTCAGATTCACTTATTTAATCGTACCAAATTCATAATCTTTAACTATGCTTTGGTTATGTTGCAGGAAAATGAACAAAATGTATCTGCATCTATTGCTAATAGTGCTAATGAGGTTCCAGCAACTAATTTAAGTATTGGTCAATCATCATTGCGTAGGAAACGTCGGTCTACAAGACGCTCTGTCACTGATCCATTAGCCACGATAGCTACAGAGCCTACAGTATTACCTGATGTTCCGAATTGTCCGCACTGTCATGCAAAACGATTCCATCAGGAATCGCCTGGTTTTTGCTGTGCCTCTGGTGAGATACAGCTATTACCTACTAAGATGCCGCGAGAGCTTATGTTATTATATATTGAAGACTCTGATGAGGCTGCCGAGTTTCGTAGATGTGTTAGAAGCTATAATAATATGTTTGCATTTACTTCAATTGGTATCCACGCGGATAAATCTTTGGCTGCAAATTACAATGGAATTTATACATTTCGAATCCAAGGACAAATGTACCATTATATTAATCCACTTGTTCCAGAGGATGGTGAGAAGCCACGAAACTTGCAACTTTACTTTTTTGACACTGAGCATGAAACAATGCAACGACTTTCAATCTCAATCAGATTTAGAGAAACATTGGTGACAAAGCTTGAGGAAATCTTAAAGATTAATCCTTACTCTGCATTTTTTTGAGGACTACAAGATTTGTCGGGCATGGATGATTATAAGATTGTGCTTGAAACTACACCTGCTGTAGATCAACGCGTTTTCAATAAGCCTGCTGTGTCACAAGTAGGAGCTGTTTGGAGTGAGAGTTCAGATTTTGAACATCTTAACTCTAAACATATACAGATTTACAGAAAAAATGGTCAAACACAGATTGTTAAGCATTATTTTGCTTGTCATGATTCGTTGCAATATCCTCTTATCTTTGCAAATGGAGAACTAGGTTGGCATCCAGGGATTGAGAGAATGCGTCGTCCAGATAGAGGCAATAATAGACCAGTTATCTGCGAGGGAGAAACTATTATAGCTACAACTACAGCAACGGCACCAAATGATATTATTGATGCAGAAAATAGAGGTATTATCGATAATCATCTCCATATAGCATCGTTAACCTATGAATATTATATTTCTTTATCATATATGCTAATCACACATAGTCTATTATCTTTCTTAATGAATAGATAACATGAGTCTGTTTGTTTCAGCTATTAACAAAAAAAAAAGAAAGCGCAACACGGTTTCATGTCGTGAATACTATTGTTACAAGCTACAAATCCGCGATATCGATCAGTCAATGTTACTACATATAGGCAGATTGCTACAACAATACGTCGTCGATATGTATGTTAAGATTGAGTCAATTAGATTAGATTTCCATAGAGGGAGGAATAAACAGGCTCAGCTTCGAACCGAGATTTATCAAGGCATAGTTGATAGTATTTCGAGTGGTGAATCATCATCATCAAGTATTGGTAAACGTATTTTCCTTCCAACTTCATTCATTAGTGGCCCTCGAGATATGTGGCGACGATATATGGATGCTATGTCTTTGGTTCAGCGATATGGGAAACCGAACATCTTTTTGACAGTAACTTGTAACAAGAATTGGCCTGAGATTCAAAAATTGCTTCTGCCAACTGATAAGGTTGAGAACAGGCCAGATCTAATATCTCGAGTCTTCTATGCAAAACTTAAACAATTGAAAGATGAACTTCTAAAGAAGAATATATTTGGAAAAATAGCAACTTACACATATGTGATTGAATTCCAGAAAAGAGGTCTGCCCCACGCTCATTTCTTAATAATTCTGAAACAAGGATGGAAGATGTACTCTCCCGAATCATATGATCGCATAGTATGTGCTGAGTTGCCAGATGCTAACCAGCATCCTTATCTTCATGAGCTCGTTGTTAAGCATATGATGCATGGTCCTTGTGGTACTATGAATCCAAACTGCCCATGCATGAAACAACACATTGGATGCAAGGATAATTATCCTAAGGAGTTTACAGAAGTCACGCGGCACAGCCACAACTCCTACCCTCTCTATCGATGGCGAGATTTTCAGCAATCAATAATTGTTCGTGGCCATCCTCTTGATAATCGATGGGTAATACCGTACAACCCCTATTTATTGTCTAAATTTAATTGCCATATCAATGTAGAAATTTGTTCAACAATTCAAGCTATCAAATATATATATAAATATATCTATAAAGGCCATGATAAAATTCTATATCAACTGACTAATACTGGGCCTAATGAAATTGTTGATGAAATAAAAAATTTTGTTTGTGCAAGATGGGTTTCTCCTCCTGAAGCAATGTGGAGATCGCGCCCCATTTTTTACAAGAAAAATAAATAAATGGAAAAGTGAATTTTTGATTTGAAAAGTGATTTTTGATTTACAAAGAAAGTGGGTCTAAATGGGACTTGAAAATGCGACGATTTGACCCAAAATATAGTTTAAAAAGGGTTTTTGAAATAACAATCGGAGTCGCCACTTGGTATAGAGTTAAGGTGTACCAAGTCACCTAAAATGAAATTTTTAAAGAAAAAAGGTAGAAAGAAACCCCTTTTAAACGACTCCTAGTCTACGTAAACCAACGAAAAAGGTTCGGGAGTCACATTTGACGAAGGGGAAGGCAAGGATAAAAATCCAAGGCACCCCTTCGACCTAGCCATGGCTAGTTGCGCGATTTAGTCAAAGATTTTCTTGTTTTAACCAAAGCATTTATCACATTTGGATGCACTATATGAATGCGAAACCTAGACCTAGGGGGACATCGGGGGCAAAATTTCTCTTCAAAACTTGAATGGTGCCATTCACATTAATTGTGATGCTCAATAATGACTCTTTGGAGAGGTCACGAATAATGCTAATGACGTGAAATGAGTGGAATGAATGTACGCAATGTGGAAATTTGAGTTTGTGTGAAGTGGAAAAGTAATATAAAAAATAATGGTGTGTAAGTGGAAGTGTGCAAATGGATGTGCAAAGTAAGGTGAGTAAAGTGATAGTATGAAGTGCGTGTGTGCACGTGATAGTATATAAAGTGCTAGGGGTAGAGTGAGAACGTGCAAAATAAAAGTTGTGTGAAGTGAAAATGTGAAAAAAGGGATAGAATATGAAGCAAAAGTGCATGCGATAGTGGATAAATGAAATGCATGAACCCTAGAGGAATGCAAGCAAGACAGGTACGGGGAACTAATGTTCGTAACTTAATTTTCCTTTTGGTTAGAAAAAGAATGAGCGTGCTAAGGCTATGGATAGCCAAACTCGTCCATCCCCCTTACCAAAAGAGTGACTCCCTAATCTACACAAGCAAATGAGCTAATCTAAATGAAAATGTAATCCTAAATATGTAAGGGAAAGGGAGTGAAGGGTCATGCAAAATGTAAAACTAAAAGGAAAGAATGAATGAAGATGTAATGAAGGCATGCAAGTATGTGCTAGCGCGGGGACGGCCCTAATGGGTCTAGCATTGGACTAGCCCTTCACTAACGCTTTTCACAAGCATTGGACTTGCGAGAGTTCGAGGGGAAGGCCATGACTAGCATTGGACTAGCCACGGTGACGTACATTCATCTATATAAGCAAACATAAATAAAAGCAAGTAGACATGCAAGGCACGTATTTTCACATAACACATAGCACATAAGCATGCTTATCTAGATGCCAAAACCTAAGAAAAAGCGATTAAACACATAGCACCTAAGTATGCAAAACACATAAGGCAAGTAAAACAAATAAAGCTCTAACTATTACATTCGGGGCGGAAGCCTACTACAATCTAAGAGGGAGTGAATTAAATGAAATGATATAATAGCCTAACTATTACAATTGTGGCATTCAAGTGCCTTTCAAATGATCAAAAATTGAACTAAAACAAAAATACTAAAATGAGACGAATAAAGCGAATAAATAAATAAATAAAATGAAAGCATTCAAATGGCATGCAATTGAGCACATAAAGTCACATAAGGCACATAAGGTCAAATAAAGTCAAGAATAAAGGATAGAGTGTACCTCCATTGAATTGATGCCTTAATAGGGTGAAATTACTTATTTACCCTCTAAAATAAAAGAAAGGGTCAAGGCATCGCTTTAATTAACAAATAATAATGAAATTGAATCAATTAAATCATGTAAACAACTTACATTCCAGAAATTAAAACCAGCAAGGACTTGATCACAAAGTTAATAAAAATTCGGGGATCAAATTATAATTATCACAAAGATTCGGGGTCACAATTAAAGAAAAATAAAATTCAGGGACCTATTTGCAATTAAAAATAAGGACCCAATTGAAGGAGATTAAAAGTTTATGGGGCCATAGTAAAATAAAGGAAAGCTTAGGGGGTTAAGAGAAGAAATGCCACGAAAGAAATGCAATCACTACTTTCAACTCACAAGCGGATTCTAGGCAGCTTTGATTAAAACCATTCATCTATCCACACTTTGAACTAAGCAGCAAAGCAAATAACCTCCACAATCCAAAACACTTAGAAATATATCATGCAAAAATCTGGAAGGATATCATGCAAAATGGTTCGGCAGCAAGCTTGCGGCACAATGAAGACTTAGACAACAAAAGAACGTGCCTAATTCTAGGAAAACATGAGACTCTGTGGATTCTACATGGTAAAGCAAAGCTCACGAATTTGTTAATCCAATGCTAGTAAAAGTCTCAATCCATTCTGTCAACATAGTCTGGACAGGATCCTTAATGTGCCAAAAGGAGAAAACATGCAATAAAAGAAAACATGAAACCAGAATCATTAAGCTAACTTTGCTTCATCTAATGTAGTTTTCCGTTTACTCAAAAACATCTGACAATCTCGACCAAGCAACTGGAAACCAAGTGTCACAAAACTTTCTTTAAACAACATAAATAGAGCATCAATACACTAACCGAGCTATCAGTTAACATGGCAGTTCCTTTTTCCGATAAGCAGCACCAGTCCGATAAGCAGCACCAGAAATTTGGTTTCAATTCCAGTCATCCTCAACAAACATGGAAGCTCACAAAACTCCCTCTTATGACATCAATTCGAATTTGTGCGAAGGGAAACATAAAGGGAACGAAAACAGAGAGGGTGCAAAACATCCATACATCAAAATCTCTCAATCACCAGGGAACGAACTGACTAGCTTATCTGGTTTCCTCATACGCAAATGCAAACAATCATTTTCGAGTGTAACTTCCACTCGGACATTTTAACAAACAGAATGGGCACGAAAACATTCCATCAAATCTCTGCTCAAATTACATTACAACCGGCCCCAAAATCACCAGAAAAGCAAGGAATTCAGTCCAACACACACAGAAAACATATGCGAACAAAAATTACAGACCATCAACAGAAAAAATCACGATGACAGACCCACGGCAGCCATGCTCTGAGAGCTTCCAGAACCCGTACTTGAAAGAAGACTGAAATGTAAAAGAAAAAGAAAAGCTTACCTTGGCCTCTCACGGTGGTTCCTCCGATACAGATTGAGTGCTTTTGAGCAGCAGGGGTAGCGGGCGGAGCGCTAGGAAACGTCTGGTGGGCAGCAACCACCTGCTGCTGCTGCTAGACCAGGAGGTCGATGATGGCATGGTCGGTAGCAGCCGACAGCGGTGGCTTCATTGACCTGAGCATCGGAGGATTTGGGTTGGGGCGATTGGCGGCCGGCGGTGAGGAAGCGGTCGGCGATGGCGATTGCAATTTCTCAGATTTTCCTAAGTCGACCTCCTTCCACTCTCTCTCTTTTCCAGATTTTCTTTCTCTGTTTCTTGTTTCTTCCTTCCCCTTTTCACTTGCTTGCCCGACAGCTTTTCCTTTCTAATCCCAGTCCGAACTCCAGAAACACTCCCCTCTCAATTTCTTTCCAGAGTTTCTAGTTCTTGTTCCTTTTGCAACTCCAAAGCCTCCTCTGTTTTCCCTTTGTCCGCCCCCTTTTCTCCTGCAACCCTCTCTCGCTTAGTTTCCTCCATCTCCTTGCCCTCTTTTCCTTCACCGAAGCTTTCATTTTTTCCTTTGCTCTCAGACGAAACCCCCTCCATTTTTTGCTCTGTTCTTTCCTTACTCCCCCCGCAGCCTCCCAAACTCCTCATTCCCCCTGTGCTTTTTCCCAGCGTCCCCCTTTTGTTCGCCGCCTCCTCTGTTTCCTTTCCCTCTGTTTTCCTTAATCCCCGAAAGCCTTCAAAAGTTCCAGGTCTTTCCCGTAGCTCTTTGTTTTTCTGTTGCCGAAGCCTTCTCCTCTAATTTTTCTTTGCTTCTGTTTTTAGCCTCCGATGAAACACTCCCTTTTTCTTTCAACCCAGGCCCCCCTTTTGCTCCCTTTCTTTTCCTCTGTTTTTCCTCTGCACCGCCAACTTCCCATTTTCCAGATTTCTTCTTGTTTTTCTTTCTATTTTTTGCAGCTCCCCTTTTTTGCTCTCTATTCCCTTTTCTTTTTTTTCTTCCCCATCCGTCATCCCCACTTGCCTCTCTCTTGCGGCTGTTTTGCTTTTTAAAGGCACCTCACAAGACTAGACCTAATATGGAAGGCCAAGATTTCAAACCCCAAAGTAGGCTTATGTGTCTTATTCTTGTCCCTTTGATTGACTTTTTCCCTTTCTTTCCTTTTTCTTTTCTTCTTTTATTTTCTTTTTTACCGAAAATTTAGTGCAAAACTCTTAATTCAATTAAAGCAAGACAAGAGACACGAATCGAAACAAAAAATCAAATAAAATAAAACCTAGAATCGAAACAAATAAAATAAAAATTAAATGATTAAATGCTTAAAGTTTAATTAAATGATAAAATGACTTAAAAATAAAAGACTAAAAGTAAATGAAAATAAAAATAATAGTGAACAAAAATACCTTAAAAATTTGGTGTCTACAGTTTGCCCCTCTTTGTCTGAGTTTTGGAAAAACTTGACACAAAGAAGTAGACACCAAATACTTACCTGTGTTATTTGGCTGCGAATGACTCGAACGACTGACGCTTTTGCAATGAAGACTGTACAAAAATTTAAACCATGGGACTGACCCGAATGAGACTTTAATCATGGGACTGACTCGAACAAAAATTTAAACATGGGACTGGTCCGAACAAGAAATTTAAAATCATGGA